CCCTCCACAAGCCCACCAGCTGCTTAGTCTTTGGTGGGGTCCACATGACTACTGACCACTGGACAAGTGACAACAGCATAAAGGGCTCTGCACAGATTTCAGGTCGCTCAGGGCTTACGTCCTGTATGCTTACAACATACAAACTTGTTAATGTTAATAGAGAGGACTGGCTTAGAGAGCCAAATATTTTGTACCTAACAGGAACTAAACCTCAGATCCAAGTTGTCACAAACCCTACAGCTCAACACAACACATTTATTTTGCTCTTTACAGTTGACAAATTGCTTCCCCATACGTAGTCAGTCCTTCAGGACCATTGTTCTCTGGACGGACTTCTAGCAGAGCGCCTATAAGACTTCGTTGCATTTATAATTCTATAATTGTGGTCTACTAAAATTAATCCCTTGTGAGCAGAGACCTTGCTTGCCCATTCTTTGAAACCTCAGAGGCTACCACATTGCCTGATATACAGGTCAGTGAAAGTCAATGAGGTAATGTTGAACACCATCTGCGTGTCTTAGCAGGTGGTTTAAAAAATGTCCACAGGTTTCTTGACGCTTCTCCCAAAGATGGAGAATTCCCCTTCCCTTAAGTGTGGGCTGCAGTTAGTGACTCACTTCTAATGACTAGAATACAGGGGACATAGTCAGATGGAACTTCTGAGACGAGATCATAGAAGGCACTGCACTTTCCTCCTTACTTCACTCCCGTAGATCAGGGGAGGCCAGCCGCCATGTTGTGACGACACTCAAGCAGCCTGTGGAGACCTCCCATTAAGAGCCATGAGAGTGAGCTGTCCTGGAAGTGGAGGCTCCAGCCCCAGTCCAGCCTTTGAATAAGTGCTGCCCCATCCAACATCTTGGCCACAACCACAAGAGACCTTAGGCCAGAACCACCCAGCTAAGCTGTTCCCAATGCCTGACCCACAGGAACTGAGTTAAAACAGGTTTGTTCTTTCAAGCCACTAAACTTTGGGGTAATTTGTTACACAAGCAATAAATAATCTAGCTATGAGGGTAACAGCAGTAAGAGGAAGAAAAGAGGAATTTTAAAAAATAATAAAATAATACAGGACCTCTCACTTATGGTTTACTGTTTTAGACACTCCACATCTACTATTCTCTCACTCACTCTTCACAAGGATACTCTGAGGCAGATGGCAATATATCCATTTTACCTACAGGGAAATGCAGACTTAGATTAAGTCACTTGGCTTATGTGCTAGTAAGTGGCACAAAAAGCATTGAAATCCAGGTCTCCTTATTTCCACATGCCACGCTCTTAGCCGCTGTGTGCATTGCCCCCCACACGGTTACCGACGGGGTGAATGAGGGAAGGGTACCAACCGCGCTTTAGGACGTTCATGAGCCCCAGGCATCTTCACTCTGTGGGCCCCTTCCTCCTTTAAAAAATGTGAAAAATTATGTCTTATGACCATATTATTATGAAGACTAATATAATCGAGGCTGGGTTCATGATTCTAAACTCATTACTATTATATTCATTTCTCCTCTAATTTTAAAAGAAATTAAACCATTTCCGTAGGCCCCTAAAAGTCTTGTGGCTCTTGGTAATGTGCCTACTGTGCCTAAGGAATACACAGGCCCTGGTATCAACTTGTGCACAGCAATCAAACAGACAATTGAAAAGAAAAAAAACAATTTTCTTTTGGCTTTTCCAAATCTTTTTTTTTTGGCTGGGAAAGATTTGCCCTAAGCTAACATCTGTTGCCAATCTTCCTCTCTTTTTTTTCCTCCCCAAAGCCCCAGGACATAATTATATGTTCTAGTTGTAAGTCCTTCTGGTTCTTCTATGTGAGCCACTGCCACAGCGTGGCTACTGACAGACGAGTGATGTGGTTCTGGACCCGGGAACCAAACCTGGGCCGCCGAAGCAGAGTGCACCAAACTCTAACCACTAGGCCGTCAGGGGTGGCTTGACAAAGAAAAGAAATTGATGTCACATTTTAAGAGCCAAGTCACTAATCTCTATTGGCTTTGTTTTTTTCCTCTTCTAACCAATAAAGGGCTCAGGGTTGTAGAAAACAATCATAACCGGGGGTGTGCTTTGGGGGGAAGCAGAGTATACAGTATATTCTGTATATATTGTATATGTGGTGCTCACTCTGTGAGGTTGAAGCAAAGGAAGGCAGGGTAGGAATGAGCCCTGTCTCCTGCGAGCAGCTGGCAGTGTCTCTGGCTCACCTGTGTTAAGCTATTCTGGAAAGGAGAGTTCACATGCCTAGTTTGGAGAACCTGCTCCCCACAACCCACCTTGCCTGGGATATGACTGCCTCATTCCTGTGAAGGTGGAGATGCCTGTGAGCAGTGGGAAAGTGCTCAGAAGTCAAGTTCCTGGAGACAGCATGGAGTAATGACAAAGTAAGGGAAAGAACAGTGACATGCTGCCTAGATTTCGCAACCAGTGGCTGGCAATGGACTGTGAACAGAAGTGACATGTGTTTACTTCAGGGTAAGGCAGTTAAAAGCTGCTGTATCTCCATATATCTCTTCCCCTCCCACAGCAAGCTGGGAAGCCATATGTTCAAGACGGCATAGCTGAAAGATGACAAGTAGCCCCATCCATGACTTGCCACCTGGAGGAGAGCTGTGCAGGAGGGCTGTCAGACCCACACTGAACTTGGAGTGAGACTGACAGAAACTGTTAGTTTGGGGGTTATATTTCACTGAGCATATCTTCATTTATCCTGACCAAGAGGGCAATGGTAGCTTGGCTGGATCACGAGGATTAGACGAGAGGGGGAATGTAGAGCACCAGAACAGTGCCTGGAAGGGAACTCACTCAGGAAACATTTATTTCCTTCTCCACTTTCAAAAATTACATTTTGCCCCAAAGAATTAATCACTGTCCAGGAACTGTTGCAGATCCCTTTCTGACAATATTTGAGCGTTGGAACCTGGGCACAGAATTCTAAAAAAAGATGAAGGATGCACACAGCCTGGTCACCAAAGGCCTTCAGACTTCATAAGTGCTTCTGTCACCCGCAGAGAGCAGTACCGACACTTTGCAGGATCTAAATTCATCTCCACTCATTTCCTCTAGAGTGCAGAAAAAAGCAGGTAGGAGCAATGTAGAGAGAGAGCATTCCTGGCCTGTTGTTTTAAATTTTTGTTTGGGCGTCTTGTGGCGAGAAAGCTTGCAAAGGCTGACTCAGCAACATTACCCAGGAGTTCGAGTGAGGGCTTGCTGGAGCCCAAGAAGCAGGATGCTCTCGAACACCATCTTGTCTGCAATCTCAGCATCATATGATTCCAGACTCAGCCATGATTTAGACCAATACTGTGTCTTAGAGAAGAGAACTTGCAGCCCAAAGTGGAGAAGGGGCTTGCCCCAGGTCCCACTGCCAACGAGTGGCTGGATCACAACTTTGCCCCCACCTCCCAGAGCTCTTTCTCCCCACCAGCGGCCACCTCGGATTGGCCAGGCTCCCGTCCAGTCACATCTTCTTTGTATCACTGCCTGAATGGGGCCCGTCAGAAATAAACACTAAGCTCAGGCTTGGTGAGCCTTTCTGGCACCCCCTTCAGCATAATTTCTCGGGGGCCACATTGGAGTGATGCAGCTATTAAAGACAGCCCACCTCGGCAATCTGACAGAACTATCATCACCTCAGGCATTTCCAAAGGCCCTTGCAGAGAACATTAATTCTGGAGAAATCTCTCCCCTGCCAACACTTTCCAGTTACAGTCTTGACATTCCAATTTTATGCTACAAAATTCCTCTGCCATTTAATGAAGGGGGAAAAGCCTGCTATTTAAAACACATATATCTGAGTAGGCTAAGTATCTGTGTTAACTTTCCAAAATTAAAGCAAACTAACAACAAAAAATCCCGTCTCTTTCCTTCCCTGCTCATGCCCCCCATGGTATTTGGAAGGGGGCAATAAGTCCTGTTATTCTCTAGGAGGGCAAGCGTGAGACGCCCCACTCCCCATGGAAAGTTTGGGGCTTCCAGGCTGAGGAGGCAGCTGACATCCATTAGGGCCTGGCCAAAAGGCAGAAAGCTCTGATTCTAAACACCTTCAGAGAAGTTCTGCCCAGTGCAGGTCCTCCATTGCATTCATTTCCAGGGTTATCTTCTAGCCCACTGTAGACTGCCAGGCAATGTTGCCCTCCTAACTCCTGCCAGCTCTGCCACCCCTGTGTGCCAGGCACTGTGCTAGATGCTTCACATTCTTCATCTCAGGGAAGCCTCCCCAAGAGCTCCTTGAACCAGGAATTAACTTGCTCACAGAGACTAAGCAGCTGGCCCGATGTCGCGAGCTGGGATTTGAAGGGTTCTAGCTCGTTCCAAAGTCCCTAGAGGAGGGCACTGAGGTTGGGACAGTGAAAGGAAAGGGACGCTGGATAACTTTTTATCCTCACCTACCCCCTTGGCAGGGAGCTGGCGCGTCGAGTTGGGGCATATAGTCTTTGGAGTGCAGAGGACAGACTAGGGTGCGGTGGAGACTGAAAATAAGGGGTGGATGCTCACAGGAATTTCCTCATCTGCAGGAAGAATTCCCAGCCTACCGCTGTCTGCCTCGGTCTGGCGGGGACCAGGAAGCTGGAGGTGGCAGGAGTCACACGGGCACAATCGCTCCAGGGGAAAAGCAACAGAGGGCGCAGCTGATCGGACGTGCCCTCACGGCTGCCCACAAACGCTGCCCCTGCAAGCCCCCTTCAGCCCCGTGGTTGAGCGGGGCCAGCTCCAGCTCCAGCACTAGCGTGCTAGTGGGGAAACCCCTTCCCCCGGCGAACGAGGCACCCACGTAGCGAGCCCTTCGCGTGCTGCGCCAAGTGCAGGTGACGAGCCACTCCGTGGGCACTTCGGGAGAGCAGATGGCAAACTCCCCGTGCGCTCCAGCTGCGCTGGCGGCCAACCTTCTCGCGCGTGCCCCCAGTGTGCCAGCTTCTGCCGCCAACTCTCCCCTCCTCCAAGCTTTGTCCTCCACCACAAAGCCCCTTCCCCAAGCCCCCGTTCCGCCGCCCGCCCCTCACCTGCACGGTGGCCGGCAATGGCAGCACAGCCCTGCGGTGGCGGCCGAAGCGAAACTTGGCCGCCTTGTAGATCTTCCAGTAGACAAATAGCACCACGCCAAGCGGCAGGTAGAAGGCGCCGCAGGTGGAGAAGACGACCTAGGAGGGTTCCTGGCTCACCTGGCAGCGCTGGAGCTGAGCGTCGTACGCCTCACCCCAGCCAAAGAGCAGCGGCGCGAGGGCGATGAGCGCCGAGAGCGCCCAGGTGAGCGCGATCATGAGCGCGGAGGCGCGGCGGCGGGTGCGCAGCGGGTACTGCAGGTGGCGCGTGATGGTCCAGTAGCGGTCCAGGGCGATGGCCGCCACGTTCCAGATGCTGGCGGTGCAGCACAGCACGTCGAAGGAGATCCACACGTGGCACAGGCTCCTGCCCAGCCACCAACGTCGTCCGGCCGACAGCTCGCTCACCAGGCTCAGTGGCATCACTAGCGCTGCCACTAGCACGTCTGACACGGCCGTCGAGGCCACCAAGTTATGTGGCACACGATGGAAGGCGCGGACGCGCAGGATGGTGACCAGAACCAGCAGGTTCCACAGGAAAGTGGCCGCGATCAGCAGCACCAGCAGCGTCACCACCAGCACCGTGAAGACTGAGAAGGGCGGCTCTCGGCCGGGCAGGGCGGCGCCGCCTGGGGTCGACCTGACGACCGCGCCGGGCCTTGGGCTGCTGTTGGAGGCCTCGGGTCCCGAGGGAAGGGCGACGCCGGTGGCGGCCGCCGAGAGGTTCGCTGCTTCCATGGCTCGCGGCGCGCCGGCTCCCAGGTAGGGACCGCACGCGCAGCCCCGGGGCTCGGCAAGGACGGGGTGGGTGGCCTCGTGGGAGGGGGCACGGCGTGCCCGGGGAGGGCTTAGAGGGGTTCAGGTCGCCCTACCCTGGTCCTCCCTTGGGCCTTAGTTCCCCTTTGGCGCCTCTCCCTGGCGCCTGCGTGGACTTCTTTTCCAGTGGAGAAAAACAGAGTGGGACCCCTCACGAGTCCAGCTCCGCTCGGCGCGCCAGTGCCACCCACCTCTCCTCGCCATCCCCAGAGCAACCGGCTGTCATGGCGCTGGGAATCCGAGAGCGCAGCCCAGAGTCCGCGCAGGGCCGGGCTTGGAGAGCTGCCCCCCTCCCACCTCCAGCCCGGCGGCGGGGTGGGCGGTGGTGGTCTGGAGAACCTGCGGGTGGCAGCCCGCCCTGCGCGCGTTCGGGCGTCTTCCCCGCCTCCGCCGTGCTCTCGGAGAGGACCACCAACTGCGGTGGTCTCGGCGAAGGTTCAAATCGCGTGGGAACTCCATGTGGCTCTCTCCGGTGGGCCCGGTGGCACGGTTAGGCCCGCCCCCTCCCGGACAGAGGGTTTCTTATTTCCCCACATCTTGATCCTGCATACTCGTACCTGAATTAGGAGACTCCAGTATTGGGTAGGGAAACAGGGCGCCCCTAAACCCAGCTCCATCCCGCCGCTCCACTCGCAGCCCTTCTGCCCCCAGGGCTTCATGGGCCTTCAGCTCACTGTGTGGCTCCAGGCGGAACGAACGTGGCGTCTAAGAGTTTGGCAGAGGCCTGGAAGAGAGAGGGATTACAACCTCCTCGCCCTGCTGTCCCTAACCCTGCCCCATCACATCCCAGCCCGCAGCACACCCGTGCTCGCCCCACCCCGCCTTGCTGTTGCTGATATTCCCGACTATAGTCTCTGTCTCTTGGTTCTTCATACCCAGGGTTGGACTGGAGTCACTTTAGGTTGACCCTTGGGCAAAGGTAGAAACCAACTAGAAAGGGGACATCCTCCTAACCCTCCACTTGGCCCCCCGTTTTCAGTCTCTTGCACTTTTAAAAAGCAGTTGGATCACAGTTAAATCAACTGAAAGCTGCATTGCGGCTGCGCCTGGGACTGGACCAGAAGCATAAAGGACGCAGAGCCCAGATTGCCCCTCCTCCTGTCACCGCAACACGACCTGCAGTCACGTCCTGGGTTCCTAACACTCTGGAAAGAGCTCAGGCTGAGCAGGTGCTCAGGAGAGCCAGAGCCAGCTCCCAGAGAAGACTTTCTGGAAAGGCCCCCTGGGCTGGAGCAGGTGCAAGGGCTTTCTTCCCTTGACTAGTCACCACCCCCCCCACCCCCACCCGCCCCCCCCCCCCCCCCCCCCGCACCTGGGGCAGTCTTTGGGGAACTGGCCCTGAAGGGAGGGATGCTCCAAGAATGCCCTTCTCCTTTACTCTCCTTTCCTCAGGACGGTTCTTGCTCACACACACAGACTTGATAGCCCACTCAGGGATGAGACATGAGAAGCCACAGGCAAAGAAGTCAAAATGAAAATACCTACAGATATAAATGTGAAGTGTTTGGGCGGTGTGGGCTGTTCAGGGGTCACAGAGATGGAGGACGTTGTAGTCAGAGAAGACCTTCCGCTGACTGAAATGCAGGGAAGGAATTTAATTATTGGACGAGATGCATGGAGGGTTGGACCTGGCAGGGGCGTGCATGGCTGGGTTGAGGTGGCAGGAGCTGAGTGCGCAGGGTGTACATGCCAAGGAGCAGGGCTTGGAGTTGATCTTGGAAAGAGCTGCATTTTGGATTTTTTTGAGAAAATTGACATGATGAAGACAATCCTTTAGAAGGAAATGGTGACTAGGCTTTGAAATAGTTTCACAATAATTTTCTCCCCATTTTATTGGACAAGCCATATAACAAGAGCAAAGGATTCCCAGATGTAGAAGCATTCACGTTGTTCAGGTCAGGTGCCTGACGTGCTTTGATGCTTCTGTCTTCGCTCCCAGCCAAGTGCATTTTTCATGCTGGAAATCAATTTTTCATTTTGCAGATTTCTCTTAACAATTTTCATGTTGCTGTATATTCTCTTCATAGTTACACTTTTTATATTGTACCGTTTATTAGGTGAGAGATTTTGAGCAACTTAGGCTTTCTGAGACTCAGTTTCCTTATTTTAAAAATGAAGATAATTATGATATCGAACCTGAAGTGAGTTCACTCACCCGTTGCGCAGCAAGCCAATCTGTGACACCGGGTGTGGTGGAAGACAGTAGGAATTTTATTTTTGCACAGCGCTGAGCAAGGAGAGAGGGCAGCTAACGCTGAAATCCCAGACTCCCCAAAAAACTAAAAGGAAGGGTTTTTATTTGGGGTTTTAGGTAGCGGAGGGGGAGCGTATGGCCTTGCTGGTCGGAGCTTTCCCACCAGCCTGTCTTTGGCCTTGAGACTACTTGCAGAGAGGAGGGAGCCCTTGAACCTGCTGGTCAGCAGCTTTCCCACCAGCCTGTATCTCTTTGCGAGGAGGAGACCATCCAGGTGCTTGTCCTTGCCGGTGTCTGTCTCCAGGGAGGATATTGGATTCTGGAGCCAGGAAGACAGGGAGTAAGCAGGGAAAGAGTGCTCTGGTTTTAACCTCATATATGCTGGGTTTAATGTGGGGAAACTGATATGAGAGTCGGTATCAATTATACCTGTGAGGAGATTATTATAAAACTATAGTTAAATAAAGCCAGTAGCACAGGAGTAAGTGTTCAGTAAATGATGACGATTGCTACTATTTTTAACTTTCAGTTTAAACCTTACATTCAGTTCTCTTATGATCTTTTGATATAGATTGTGTTTTACAGTTTTAATTCCTCAAATGTCTGTAACAAGAAAACCCATTCACACATTTTGTTCCCCTTGATCTTAACCTTTTTAGGCATCATTAGCACTTGCAGATGAAGAAACAGGGAGAGCTGTTGACTTGCCTTGTGACTGGCGGCTGGACTCACCTCTCCTGACCCTGTCCCCTCTCTGCCCACGATGCCGAGCTGCCCTCCATATGCTGGTCTGGGGGCTCAGCCTGATTGTTTTCACTTAACTCTTTTATATAAATTGTTTTCTATAAAAATTGACAGTTTAGAAATCTGTATTGTCTCAATTACAAGTCTTGAGCTTCGCTACCCTCGTCTCAGACCACTCTCCCCTGTTCACCACACTCCAGCCCACCTGGCCTCCCAGATCCTTGAACATAACAAGCACATTCCATTCTCAGGGCTTCGGTGTAAGCTGTTCCATCTGTCTGGGATGCTGTTCCCTCAGATAGGCATGGCTCATTCACTTACTTCATCTGGTCTCTGCTCCAGTGTCACCACCTCAGGCCTTCCCTGACCATCAGATCTACAATCTGTCACTCTATCTAAAGGTGTTCTCTGTCCCACTACTCTGCTTTATTTGTCTTCACAACACCTCACAGAGGGGACAGCACGTTATTTATTTAGTTCCTTTTTGCTATCTGCCTTCCCCACTAAAATGTAAGCTCTTCATAGGCAGGGAGTTTATTCACTGCTGTGTCCTGAGCATCTCATTCTGTGCCAGTCTCACAGAAGGTGACTCAATAAATTTGAATGGATTTGTTGAATGAATCAATGAGGCATTGTCAGGAGAGGTGATCCGAGGGCCCTGAGCACCCCTGCACCTTCACATGGGGCAGGCCAAGAACACAAGGTCCTGACTGCTCATTACGCAGCCGTAGCTCAGAGTTGTGTTTGCACAGAGTGACCTTGACAGATGAGGTACCTCTCTCCCTGGGCAAAGGGCAACTTGCATCTACTTACTATGAAAGTGGTGAATCGTCCAAGCTCAGTGTCCCTTTCTTGTAACACAGCCCATTCTCTGCGCAGGCGTCTATCACAGGCCCTTTCTGTCTCCCCCGTGGGACTTGGGAGATATGGAAAGCCAGAACAAATGAACAGGGAGCTCAAGCTACAGCTTTTGCCTAGGGGAATAAAGTGTTTTGTCTCTGAGCCATGAGTCTCATGTCTCCTGAGAGCATCTGTGAAACAGTTACAGGGCAACTTGTTAGCTCACAAGGAGGGAAAATTCCAGACCCTGTGCAGTGCTTGACAGGCATTTGGTTTGCTGATTTTTAAATTATTAGCAGAATTCTTTTGCCCTTTTGAGATTATTTCCTTGATATATTTTCTCCCAAAGTTAATAACTAAGTTAAAATGTAGAAACAGTGTGATTGTTCTTTTTACATATTTCCAAATTGTACCTCAGAGAGTTTTAATGGATTCACTGTTCTCTTGGCCCTGGCTTTGGAGAAACAAGAGAGAGACGGACAGCTTTGCCAAAATCAATTTGTTATCATGAGAAGAAAAATGTTTAACTGGTATATAATGATATAATTTACCTGTTTTGATTTGCATTTCTTCAATAGCTAAAAACCTGCGTTTTTCCTCATGGTGGTTTATTATCTATGTATCCTTGTGTGGAAGCTGTTCCTGCTCTTTTAACTACCTTATGCAGGAGGCTGAGTGCTGAACTTATGAATATTGATCAATTTCAATGTAATTAGCAGATTTTCATCCATGGTGTGGTCACACTTTTCCTTTGTCATTTCTCTCCTTGCATTTATTCTATTACATTTTGTTGAATAACTTTTTCTTTCATATAGTAGGACACATTGACCTTATCTCCATCAATGTCCTTAATTTACTCTGTAATCATAAGTTGCTTTCCTGCCCTTTATTTCTGTTATTGAAGTTTATGAATCGATTGAGGAATTTGACCCTCTGACTCCTCTAGAGTCGTTATTATGATGTAGCAGGAGACGGTGGTTGAGCCTTCTCGAGCCCGTGCGTGTGTAATCCTGTCCAGTGAAGCCCGGCCCTGATTATTGAGTGCACGAGCCTGTGCCATTGTGATGGTACAAAGGTGGGTAAGAGGTTGTCCAGATCTTGGAGGATCTTTCACCGACCAGAGAACAAAACCTTCCTATCTGATAAGCAGAATGCAGCAAAATGTGCTAACAGCTGATGAGAGTTTAAACGAAGGTTTCTGGGTTTGCTGGGGAGACAAATCACCTGCAATGAGGAGGACTGGAGAAGGTCTCTGGAGGGAGGCAGCTTTTGACCTGGACGTTAAAAGATGGGAGGATTTTCACCAACAGAGGTGGGGAGGGAGCGGGAGGGAGGCAAACCCAGCAGGAGCAAGAGGGCGAGCAAAGGCCTGGAGGCAAAAGAAGAAGAAAACAAATCAATCACAGCAGCAGAGGGTCATCCAGAAGGCCCAGCATGGACCCCATGATAGTTCCTTCGCTTCTGGTTCGTCAGCTTTTGCTTTTAAGGAAAACATAGTAGAACATTTCTATCCTCTTTAGTCAGTGGATCCTACTAGTTCTCTTTAGTACATTCATGTGACTCCCACGCTTAGCTTTTTGTGCTGTTATTAAAAAGCATTCCTTCCTTGATGTTATTGCCCTTGTGTTCTTACAGATGATTTCTAAGATCATTTTAGCAGGCTTTCTTCCTATTGGTTCATCAAGTCTCAAACAAGTGTTACCTCCTTTGAGAAGCTGGTCTGATCCCCACCTCTGCCCCACCCTGACTCAGCCGCTACTCTTCCTCTGGCTGACCCCTGAAGCCAGGCCTGCGACGGGGACAGGTTCCTGCTTCTCCACTAAATGGCAGCATCCCTGAGAATACGGGCCTCTCCCTGCTCTTCCTCCTGGAGTCTACACAGGGCCCGGTGTGGCTCAGTAAACCTGCATGAATGAATGAATGAATGAATGGGTGAAGACAGCTACAAAGAGAACCGAGAACCATCTCAGTGAAGATGGAGAGCAGCGAGGGTGTGTAAAGCTATCAGGGAAGGCGACTGATCCGAGAAGGTGAGGAGATGGGACCTGCTAAGCATGAAGCCAAGGAGAAGTAGAGAAACAGCAAAAGAGAGGGGAGGAAAGATAGAGTTTCAAAAAAACTGGAGAAAACATGTTTGTAGTCAGGACAGGGTTGAGAAGAAGAGTGTGTGTCCCAGCTCAAACATCACTGTCTCAGAAGGGTCTAATTCATTAGTTCTCAAATTTCAGCAGACGTCAGTCACCTGGAGAGCTTGCTAAAACACAGGTTGCTGGGACCGTCTCCAGAGTGAGGACTGAGCTGGGAGCCAAGAGTTTGCCTGTTTAACAAGCTCCCAGGTGATGTTGGTGCTGCTGGTCCCGGGAACCATGAGTCTAAAGGAGGTCTCCAGCCGTTCTCTGTCCACTTTCCATTTTCCTTATGTAACTCATCAATCTCCGTTGTATGCCAGCGTACATAAATTAACACATGTAATTTTCACAACAACCTTATG